TGGCTCGTGAGAGCAGTCGTGGTGGCATTGATTGGTGGCGTTACCAGACTCAAGTTCTTATCCCAAAGCTAATTCCCTTCGCAAAGGAGTGCCAAAAAGAGAGACCACGTGTCTTTGTTCAAGAAGATAAGGCACCTTCGCATACCCACCACGCTCAAAGAACTATATACCGAAACGCTGAGGTGGAGCAGCTCCCATGGCCAGGCAATTCACCTGATCTCAACGCTATTGAAGCAGCCTGGCCATGGCTCAAAAGAAAAACAACACGAAGAGGCGCACCAAAAAGTCGGGCGGAAGGGACAAAAGTATGGCAACAGTACTGGGATGAGCTACCTCAACACCAAATTCAAGCTTGGATAGAGCGTATTCCGTTTCATATTCAAGAAATCATTAAACTTGAAGGTGGCAATAAGTACAAAGAGGGGCGGCGGGACCGATCTACATAGCTTCGGCCCTATTTTCGGCGGTAATCAATGCACCCCTGTCAGCAAGAACTTTTGACAGTCACCTCCGTATATGGTGTGAGATGGTACTTATGCGCAGATAGTTAAGTAAGTAGCTAGCTAGCTAGCTAGCTGGTTGGTTGGTTGGTTGGTTGGGTAAGTATTGACTAATGAACGAGCTGTGTATGTATGTATGTATGTAGGGTGGGTGGGTGTGTATGGATGGTGTACATTATGTAGGTGGACAGAATTCGGTACATAGACATACATCGATACTTACCATGCATTCTGCTCCGCTCCGCTCTACGTAGATAAAAAAAAAAGCACGCATGAGCCAGGATGTAAGGAGGTAAGTATTTAGTCTGCTCGAGTGCTGGGATGGGGTGTAGTGAGTAGGTGTGTGTACTTGGATTTGGGACCGAGGAAAGTCACTGCATGCATGCATGTATGTATGTATGTATGTATGTGTAGACTTGTTCCCTGGCTACTCGTGTGCGTGTGTGTGGGGGGGAGGGGGATTCAGCACTTTTTCTTCCTAGTTAAGAAGGGTTGGGTGGATTAGGTTGTTTCGTTTCGTTTCGTTTCGTGTGTATCTAAGTACAAGTGCTTTTTTTCTTGCCGGCGTCGGGTCGCTGGAGAAGTATAGATGGAGGAGAGGTGGTCTTGCCGTGGTGAACCCAGGCATATATGGCATGAGACGAGATGAGACCAGGCAAGATGAAGAGGGAATTGCCACACGGGGGTACTAAGTAAGTAGGTTAGGTATCTACCTACCTACACCCATACCCCTAAACACCCCAAATCCGCAACATACATATACACACACACACACACACACGCGCGCGCGCATAACATGGCATGATCCCACCACCCTACCTACTACAACCCGTCTATCCACCTAGCCGTCTATCATCCATGTACCTACCCGAGTCATGCAGCACACATGCGTTCCTTGGCATGGCTGAATATGTACAGTAAGAACTTAGCTTCTTGGTGCGGGGCTGCAAAGACGACAAGCCCGTTCTAGAACTGGCGTGCGCGGGCTGGTGGGGGTAGGGAGACGGAGAGACGTAGAGAGAGAGAGAGAGAGAGAGAGACAGGCTGAGAGCACAGTATAGTACAGTACAGTTACTTATTTACTTATTGCTGGGATGTGTGGCATGTGGAACGGAGAGATGGGCGTGAGCTGGGGAGTTTCTAATGTACTCATGCGAGATGCTGGCCTTGGCTCTTTTTTTGGGTTGCTACGTAGGGCTGGTTGCTGGCTGATTGTTACTTAGCTGCGGAGATGAGTTTTGGTGGAGAGGAGTCGTGAGTGCGTGCCGTGCGTGCGTGCGAGCGAGTGTTTGAGTACTTAATTATTTTTTTCATGGTCATGGTCATGTTCATTTTTTTGTTTCATGTTTCATGTTTGCTGTACAGTGCTGTCGCGAGGATTGCGCAATACTTATTTAAACTTTAGACTTTTTAGACTTTTCTTGCACGAATCCATGGCTATTTGGCACCTGTGTGTTCGGACTAAAGTAAGTTTGCCTTTGTCCACCACAACTTGTTTCTTTATTCAAGAAGCACACTACAAAAAACATGGACCTTTTTTTTTGTTTCGTTTCCAATGTGAATTTGCATGAGTTGCCCTGTTGTACAAAACTACAAAACGATGAAACTAAGATATGTATGTTATTTATAGCAAAGGCTGAAAAGTTTCATACAGCGAAAAGTAAAAAGGAAAAAAAAATATAGACAGTAAGTAGGAATTTGGAATAAGGGGAGAATCAAAAAGGAAGTAAGGATTACAAAGTTATTCGTCAACACACGCTTTTTAGCAACCATAAGAACACACCTTTCCCGAATACCAAGTTAGAGACCCAAAAAGCCCCAAGACATCAGGACGCCATTCGTATGCTGAGTTTGTTCCTTTCAATCATGAGGGTATTCTTCACGCACATTACTTACAAAACAGTGATTTGCATCATCCCACCGTTTAAAGTGGCGGCCAGCAAGCTTCAGTAACGCCTCTGAAGGATACGTGTGCTCGCTTACGGGCTGGATGTTCTCTGCGGCAACGTATCGAACGGATTTATCACAGACGCTGTATTTCGTTAACAGAGTTCACAATAAAGAAACACATGAAAATCAGCAGTCTTACAGGACGTGATAGAAGGCCTGATTCCTCCCGTTCGGCAGAGCATCAACACGCATGTTTTGAATCCAGTCCTCGTTTGCGTCGCACACGACATCCCATCCCGTAATGACACCTTCGTAGCCATATCGCTTGTGTTGGAACATCTGACCGACTTTGAAGGCGACTTTTGTTGTGCGCTCGGAGCGGCTAATAATGGGTTTGGGCATTGAATCTACGTGATTCATGCTCTGTACAAACTGCAGCAACCGATGCCCCTCGGGTTGGTTGTAGAACATGGGAATGACGTAGCGCGAGAGCAAGGTGACATCCCACGGGAAGTGCATTTGAAAGTGTTCGAGCAGATAAGGCAGATACTGGCGACGGCGGATGGTGGTGTGGCCTATGTTGGAAGGATCATCATTTGGCCCCAGGAGCAGCATGGCCCATATGGTTGCGTAGAATGCATTGTCCATGTCTGGACTTGCGTTTACCCATGACGCCTGGACATTGCGCATACCGGCTTCAGCTTCACGGATGGTTTGCACAGAGTTCATAATGTTGCGCGCGGTGCGGAGGACCATTTCTCGTGTGTTGGTATCAGTCAGAAAAGCGCCATGTTCGCTGGTGGGTACGCCCATGTCGCGTAGGGTACGCTGCAAGTCGCCCTGTCGCACTTCTGAGGTAGAGCGGAAGGGGTCCAGATACATGTAGTCGCGCTCGGTAGAGCTGGTAGGCTTGTATTTTCCATCAAGCGTGTAGTTCTTGGGCGCGTATACAAGCGTGTAGACGTGGAAGAGGAAGCCACAGGGACGGGCATCAAGGCCAACACGTCGAGCAACGGCGCAGTAGATGGCTACCGAGATCAGAGGAAGCGACTCATGAGCGGCCGAGCGCAGGACTAGGCCAATAAAGGAGTTTCGCAGAGCGCGGTATGAGCGATCAGGGACGCCGTTGAAGCCCCGGTTTCGCAGATACGAGGCTAGCGTCGAGGCCTTGTCTCGCGGGCTCCAGTTGCGAAAGTGCGGATACTCTTCCAGCAAGCCGTTGGCAAGTTGGCCGATGTCATCAGAGACGACGTCGACGTCGACTTCTTCGCCGACCCGGGCAAAGACGTCGTATGCGCCCAGGGCTCGCTCAATAGGCACATCCTTGCCGTCCTGCAGACTGGACCAGAGCTTGATGGCGACTTCGCGATGGATGCGCTCGAGGACGGCGTTGGCGTAGTATCTTCGCGCCAGCACATCGTCGGCGTCATCTGGACAGGCGCATTCTCTGAGCAGGGCCTCTTTGGCGTCGTAGCCATAGTCTGCAATGTCGTTGATGCAGCGGATGCGGTCGCGCTGGGTGGCGACAATGTGGTTGAGCAGGTCTCTTGTGCGGCGGTTAATCATATGCTTGGTCATGTACAGGGCGCGCCAGTCGACGTCTGAGAGCGGCGCTGCAAACTTGGCGGCGATGTGGTGGCGGGCGTCCCATGTCTTGAACTGCGTCTTGCAGAGGTGGCGCCAGATGATGGGGGCATCGGTGGTGAGGCGCTTGATGAACTTGTTGGCCTGCGAGACGGCGACGAGCGACAGCGGGTCCAGGTTCAGGAAGATGGCCTCGAGAATCTCGGTGGGCAGGTCTGTGAGGCAGGGACGTTGCTGCATGGCGGGCACAAGGACCGCACCCAGGCCCCGCAAGGTGGATCGGATTAGGGCTTACGGGGGGCTCTGGAGGAGCGGCGACCGGACGTGGTCAGAGAGCGCGGTCGTGGTAGCTTGAGGGCGGGCAGCGGGCGTAGGCGGAGGAGAAAAAGGCGGCGGCGCTGCGAGTCGTGATTCAGTGAGCGGCGCGGGATTGCGTCAATCGAGGCAGAAGACGGCCATGCGCCCAAGCAGAGTCTTGGATCGCTCGCTTATCAGCGGCGCTAGCCTCGGCAGTCTAGCCGCGATACTGCACCTCGGGCGCCAGTACACCTAAGTTACTGTACATGTATACACCACCCCACCAGTATATGTATGCTCGACGCCGTGGCAAAAACAAAGCAGCCCGCAGCCACGTGGGCGCTGCATCCTCTGCGCACACACACACTCACTACACACGATACACGTCGCGAGCAGCAGCCACGGGCATGTCCCCGCCACCGAGGCCGAGGCACGAAGCCAGCTCGTCCAGCGTCAGCACTATGCGGCGCGTCTCTGGCACCGTCCCGGCTCGCAACGGACGTCGCAATTTCAATTCCACCTGGGACCTGGTGCGAACCATGCCCCAGACACGGCTGTCTACCCGGCACGGGCATGCCATGGCCCCGGGGTGGCATAGTAGTACTATCTGTGCACACGCGGATTTGCATATTTCGTCCGGATCGCGGGCGAAGCATTCCGATCGCCGCGTTCCGAAGAGCCCGACCATCCTGCAGCCACATTGTTGATGTCACTGCTTCTGCCGCACCGCCATAAACAACATGACGCCTTAGAATCGACTTCTCCGTCTGACCGCCTTCCCCCCTCCTCTCGGCCTTGCGATATCGTCCTCTTGCCCCGACATATCGCCATACCCACATCCTACCATGGCCGACCTCAGCCGAGTCGAGTCGATGCAGTACCCTGCAGGCCATTTTCCCCATCTCTCCCAAAACCAGCAGGCCCAGCTTGCCGAGTTCAAGGCTATCAGCCAGAAGGCTGGCTACTACACGCCTGCTGCCGGCAGCCAACCAGCCAGCCATGACGACGAGACCATGCTGTACGTACAAAAAACCCTGCATTTCCTGCAACTCCTAGTGCCGCACTGACTGCCAACAGGCGCTACTTGCGCGCGCGTCGCTTTATACCCCAAGAAGCCTTCAAGCAGTTCAAAGACACCGAGGACTGGCGCAAGGAGAACAAGCTCAATGAAATCTTCACCACCATTGACACCGACGAGTACGAGCAAACGCGCCGCCTGGTAGAGTGCCCCACAACAAACACACCGTCGTCCCTACTGACAGCCTCGCCCAGTATCCCCAATGGCTCGGTCGGCGCGACAAGCGCGGCATTCCCCTCTTCCTCTTTGAGATCGCCCATCTCAACTCCAAGAACATTGCCGCATACGAAAAGCAACTCGCAAAGTCAAAGACGACCTTTCCCAATGTCGCGACCAAGAACGTGCGCCTCTTCGCCCTCTATGAGTTGCTCACAAGATTCTACACCCCATTGTGCTCCATGGTGCCCCGCGTATATCCCGAGACGCCCATTTCGCAGAGCAACAACATTGTCGACATTAGCAACGTTGGCCTGAAACAATTCTGGAATCTCAAGGCCCACATGCAGGATGCTTCAACACTAGCCACAGCCCATTACCCAGAGACGCTCGATAGGATATTTGTATGTCCCGGAACAAACCACCGCAAATCCTCTGACCAAAACTAATGCGCTTGTAGATTGTCGGCGCGCCTAGCTTCTTCCCCACTGTTTGGGGCTGGGTCAAGCGTTGGTTTGACCCCATCACTGTATCCAAGATCTTCATTCTCTCCCCGAGTAACGTCTACTCCACACTATCCCAGTACATTGACCATGAAAACATTCCCAAGAAATACGGCGGTGGCCTCGACTTTGAATGGGGCCAGTTGCCCAATCTTGAACCAGCCATCGAGGCCCAAATCAAGTGGGAAAAGCCATACATCCAAGGCGGGCGGAACACACTCCCCATTGGTCCGCTAAAGTTCGAGGAAGGAAAAGACGGAGAGATGCAAGCGTGGGGCATAGGCAGCGTGGGCGGCAAACCGAGACATGAGCTCATCTTCACCATCCCCAACCCCGTGGGCTACAACCAAGGAGATGTGGTCCCAACTACATCCGTGGAGCAGTTTGGCGAACCTCTCACAACGACAGGCACAGCCACCCATCCTCCTGATACAGACGGGTCAGGGTCACCCACCCCACCCTCTGATGATGAGAGCTCAACCCCAGACTCTCCTTCAACAGCCCTGCCCGTCCGCTCAGGTACCTCGGAGGCCCGGTACGAGCAACAAGACCACACCCATGCCTCGGGCCAGCTCGCAGACGGCACAACCAACGCCGCAATCGTCGAACACGGCCACGGCGATAAGGCTATAAGTGTCGAAACAAACACCATCGGCCAAGCTCCAAAAGAGGTACCCCTCCCTGATCCAGAACAGCCTGCTGCCCCAGGCTACCTAGACCAAGCTAAATCCGCCGCTGCATCAGCTTCGGCCTTAGTCGCTTCCACAGCCACTACCGCCGCCTCGGCCGTCGCCAGCGTCGTTACCAGCAAAGAGCCAGCGAAGCCCGAGGACCCGCCCAAAGAAAAGAGCCCCGAAGAAAAGGAAATGGATCGTCGGATTGATGCCACCAGTGCAAAGGATGTCGAGGATTTTCTCAGGGAAAAGACAACTACCGCCACCAATGGACATGTAGCGGCTTGAAAAATTTAGGGATAATATAGGGTCATCTTTTCAACTAGATACCTTTTTATTTATTTTGTATAAACGGGGATTATATACCACGGAAAACATGTTGGTGTTGATGGAGGGGAGTGAAATGAAGGGGAGTGTGTGTGAAAAGGGTGGGGGGGAATGAGTATGGATAATATTACCCCTGAACCTGAGAAATCTCGATCCAAATACAGAACAAGATGCTCACATGTCATGTCCTTGATTCATATTCTTATACTTGAGCCAGTCTTGGTATTAACGAAGCTATCGTTTAACTCTCTCTCTCTTTCTCTGATAATCCAAAGACATGCATATAAAGGAGGAAGAAATGCTTCCACACACACTAAGAAACAATAACAAAAATAAAAAAAGGAAAAGAAAAGATACAAACGCCCGTAAATGCAAAAAGGAAAAAAGAAAAAGAGAAAAACAAAACAGTATTCATATCCTGATTCCCCCCCGCCCATGATTTCCCATTCCCCCCCCCCCCCCCCTTTACTCTTTATCTTCATCTTTGTACTCCTCCTACACAAACCACCCCCCCCCCCCAAACACACGCTCAATACGCCAACATTTTCTGCGCGCCCTTGGCATCAACGCCCTCACCGGGTCTCGCAAAACTGCACCAACGATCCTTAATCGAGACCACCTCATACGTGCCTTCTTCCTGGACAGGAATACTCATGCTCATCTCATGACTAACCTCTGTCCTGATTTCCAAGACCTTACTCTTGCGGCCTTTATTAGCGTTTGTGCTGCGGGTATATGTGAATTCAAAGGGCGGGGTGCCCCAGAACTGGAATTCCAGATCGGTGCCGCCGCCCTCGTGGATGTCGACTTCGGAGACTTGGCCGCCCGAGAGGCGCACCGAGGGGATGGGGTGGATGGTTTTTGTGAGGGCGAGCGTGGCGACGCATTCCGAGGCCGAGTCGCGGAGCCCCGTGATGGTGAAGGTGCCCGGCAGCTCGGCCAGACGCCGGAAGGTGGTGCCTGGGTTTGAGGCTTTGCGCTCTTGCTTCTCGAAGGTGTAGTAGACGGTAAAGGGGGATTGGCCGCTGAGCGCGAACGAAAGGCGCTCTCCGACACAGAAATCCTGGCGGTCTTCCAGAGGCGTGGCGGTCGGAGCGTCGTGTACGCTGATCTGGACTCGAGGGCCGCCTGCTGGGGGCTTGAGCGTACATCCACGCGAGTCGCGCACCTTGCGGATCGAGATGGACGAGTGGCCGAGGTGCATCTTGCGGTGCTCAATCTTGAGGTCGTACTTGTTCGTGGGTATGTGCTTGTGAATGCTAATCTCCGGCTTGGGCGTACCCTGGTGCTTGATCTCGACTTCCAGGTAGAAAGGCGCGACACCCTCCAGGGTAATGGGAATCACCTCCTCTCCCTCGGACTCTCGCGAGCAATAACTGTACGTCTTTCCGGGCTTGTCGAAGCGGGCGCTCGGCCTTGAGTGCACTGTTTGCTGGATAGTAATGGGCGAGAAGTGCTTCTTCGAGTGGTCGTAACGGGAATCGGCAAGCTTCATGAACGTGTACTCGTAAGTACCAGCCTTTGAAGTCTCGGATCGTATCGAAGCAAAGCCGCCAGCAGTGTGGATATCCTTTTCACTGACGGATGCTGTCTTGCCCTTCTTATCCTTGTACTCCTGTCGATAAGATACATCGAAAGGAGGGTTACCTGCGATTTAATTAGTATTGTAAAAGCTATTGATAGATCGAGGTGCGTACCAGTCAAAGCAACTTCGAATGCATCCTCATCACCTTCACACACGGGCTCCTTGATATACTTGCTTCCATCAAGAACGGCCGTCTTCTCGGGAACAGTGAGCAAGGGGCGGGCCACCCAAGAAACATCGAATTGATCGGCCTTCTCGTCAATCAGACCTGGACAGATGGAGTCCTTGACCGACAGCAATTGATATGTGCCGTCGGCCGTGACATCGAGCCACGAGTTGGGGTTCTGGAAAGACTCTCTCTTGACTTCTCTGGTCTTCAAATTCTCATACTTGAGCGTCCAGGGACCGTTTCCAGTAAAGCGAAGTGGCAGTCCAACCTGTCGGCTTTCCAATGCCAGTACTGACTGCTTGCCTTCGATATGGCCAAAGTAAGCCTTGGGCCGTTCATGTCGTACGTTGACTCTGGCTTCCTCCTTGAGGACTTCTTTGCACCTGGCTTTATCGGTAACGCTAGTCAAAGCCACAACGTATTCCCCACCACTGCTGAGCTTGTCGGTTCGGATGGTGTAGTGAGCGTCTTCAGTTTCAATCGAACGCCTTGTGCGTTTGCCGTTGTGGACAATCTCATATTCCAATTTCCATGGGGCCTCGCCAACAAAGCCAACGTCAAACTCCACCACATCGTCGATACAAGCCTGCTTGGGCCTCCTACTCTCAATGAAGTGCGCCTGTGCCGACGGCTTCACATCCTGCTGAAGTCTAATGTTGTTGAGCTGCCTTTCAGGGTAAACAGAGTCGCTGATAGTCTTGAAGATGTACTCGTAATGACCAGCGTCTTGTGGGGTGAGGTCAATTGTGCTGCGAAGACTGGCAATCTGTAGCGGAGACTTTCTAACTTCTCTTCCGTTGTCTTTCTTTTCGTAGTAGGTGAGCGTGAAAGGCGGGCTTCCCACAAAATCGAGACCCACACGTAGACCAATCGGATTGCCAGCGCACTTGTCGATGATGTCTTCGCTGTCCAAAGTCATATCCGGCTCAGGCGGGTTCTGAAGCAGACACGAAGTGGGCTCGAAAACCTCGCCATCACAGAACTCGGACGAGACAGACTTGATCGTATAAAGACCTGCCGCTGAAATGGTGGGTTGTTCTCCCTTTCGCATGACCTGCTTCTGCAAGATGGCATCTGGGCTATGGTAGCCATCTGCAACGATATTTTCTTGGGGCGTGAAAAGATATTCAACTGTGTGCACAGAGTCAAGCGGATTCTTCCCAGTGGATGCGTAGTGGACCGGTAGACGGGCGGCATTGCCCTTGGGTACGCGAAGAGGATTCTGCGGGCTGCAGCCCTTGAGGAAGGCTGTGGGTCGCTCGTGAACCTCAAACATCTGACGAATGCCTGCAACCTTGGGCTTCGGCCGATCCTCATCGTCGACATTGATGTAGCTGACAAAATTGCCCAATCCGTCCTGTACTTCTTCGATCTCATATTCCCATGAACCGCTGTTGGTAAGAGTTTCATTCAATGGTACCGTGACCTTTTGCGAACGTGCCCAGGAAATATCCTCGCGTCCGTTCTTCACCAGCGCTTGTGACGTATGTCTGGACAAAGGCGAAATGACATCCTCTGGCTGCAGGTTCTGAAACTGGGATCCACCTCGAGGCTTTCCGTTTACTGTCAGGCGGTACTTGACACTGAGCGGGGGTGTGCCTTCGACTTCCAGCGCAACATTTGATAGATCGCTCCGGCATCGATTGCTACCAGTCGGCTTGACTCGGGCTTGCGGGCAAGTGGTCACAACAGCGTTGGTTGAGCGCGGTCGCACCTGGAGTTTCGACTGATCTGTGACCTTTCTCAAAAGATAAACACCTGGCTTCTTGACGGTGTAAGTCAGAGTCAAAGGATCGTCCGGATTGGTAGTCTTGACTGCCTTCTTAGCTTTCTTCATCATGCCCTTCAACTCGCTCTTCTTGACTATGATGGTTTCATTAACGTTTGTGTCGATGTCGATGCGCAGTAGTTCCATCTCGTGGGGTTCGGTCTGGTTGATCCTGATGGGTATCTCAAGTTGAGAGATGGTCGAGCTGAGGCAAAAAGACTGTCTTTCCGGGTTCAGGATGGCGGATCCTTCAGGCAGAATGTTGACAATCTGCTTTCCGAGAATCAGGGAGGCGTTGTGTAGGATGGCCCCCGGTTTGACGCTCCGCTCGCTGATGGCCAGCTCGCTATCCCACAAGAACCCAACCAAGCCCATGAGCCAAGCCTGTACGGGAATGCCAATTCTGAACATGAGCATCACATCCACGGCGGCATGCAATACAAAGAGCAGAAAAGCGGCGCCATTGCCCCATTCCAGCCAGGGAATCTCCAGCAGCGGCACGCCGAACATGAACAGCACATCGAAGAAGCACCATTTTAGACACAGCCATAATGACTCGTCATCTTCAAGTGCCAATGTGTAGAAGTCGTATGTCCTGTATGCCCACAAGGCGACGTAGACTGCGAAGACGTAGAAGCGCTGTTGGGCGGCATCGAGGATGTCGGAGGGTATGAGGGGGCCTGAGCTCGGCTGCGGAGGAGCTTTTGGGAGGTCGGGAAGCGGCGAGCGTATATTCGGCCGCGGCGATGATGCCTCTGGGCTTTGTGGGCCAGGAGACCTGTTGGCGTTGTTGTGTGGTGTTGAAGGGAAGCCGCCCACGCCTCTCCGAACCTGCGGTGTGCCGTTCATCGCACCGGGAGTCGAGGCTTCAGCTATATCGTGTTCATGGGCCGAGATGGGCGACGGCGAGTGAGCAATTAGCCCGTATGGTTTGCGTAGTTGAGGTGCTGGTTACTTCCTGGGCGACGTGAAACCGTCAAACAAAACATTTACTGACAGCCTACGCGACACGGCGCGACAAGGATGATGCGGGCTGCGCTGCGTCACTGGCCAATCAGAGCGCCGTAACGCCGAGCTCTCGGTCACGTGTCGTCAGAGCACCACCCTATCTGTCTTGCTTTCGCTGACCTGCTCACCTTCACCACTACCAGCACACTAATCGCTTTTGTTGTCGGCGCACGGATTATACTTCCAAATAGAGCGTTGGGCGAGGTGCAAAAACAGTAACCATGCCCGTCCACTTTCCTTGTCTCCAATCACCAAACGTCCACATGAACACTTGAACTACCGCAGTTTCAACTCAACCCACAACCTTCCTTATCCACAGTAACAGCATCCGCCATGGCACAAGTGGAGTCTCTGCAGCTCGGAGCTGGCTCTGATCTCCTGAAAAAGACCCCAGATCAAACCCAAGAGCAAGCCATCTCGACCAAGGGCCCCGAAACTATGCTGGAAATTCCCAGTTCCGAAATCACAGAGGGAACTAATGCGTTGGTTCCTCATACTACTAATGCTTCCGAATGTTCCGTCGAACCTTCCAAAGCAGCTCCGCCAAATGACAAAAAGCGAGGTCCGCCTGAACCATCAGAATCCGTGCCCAGCCCTAAAAAGTCCAAAGAGTCGCCAGCACCGCCAGCACTCATGGATGGCCTCATACCCAAACCTGTCTTTCCAAGCCCCCCAGATATGCCAGCGACTGCGTTTGACAAAGAGACGTGGCAAGGTTTCTGCGAAATCGAAAGCGAGCCCGCATGTTTCTCCGTCATCCTCCGCGAAATGGGCGTGAAAGACGTAACCGTCCGGGAGGTGTTCAGCATGGACCAAGACTTTATCCGCGAAAACGTTCCCCAACCAATCTACGGATTCATCCTGCTGTTCCACTACCGCGAGTTCGGCAACGACGACTGGGAAAACGAGGGCTCCAAGAAAGTGTGGTTTGCCAACCAACTACCCGCTCAGAACAGCTGTGCGACTCTTGCCATGATCAACATTCTCATGAACCAGGGTCCTGAAGTGTGCATCGGCGAGCACCTGGAGCAGTTCAAGGAATTCACCAGTGACTTCACGCCGTACCAGCGCGGCGAGGCTTTTGCGAGTTTCGATTTCGTCAAGAGAATCCACAATTCGTTTGCCAAGAAAATGGACATCTTGGAAGGCGACAAGCATCTCAGCTACAAGGTCAAGCGCGCGGAGCGCCTCAAGGCACAAGCGGCTGAGAAAACCAAGCCCAAGAAGAGAGCTACAAAGTCGTCGCGGCGCGCCTCTGTCGACTCGATCGCTACAGAGGATAGTGAAGACAGAGTGGAGAATAACGCACACCACTACATTGCCTTTGTCCCCGTCGGCAACGAAGTCTGGAAGCTGGATGGCTTTGACAAGTACCCGACATGCATGGGGTCCTTTGATCCCGAGAGCGGAGAAACATGGTTGGAGTCTGTATCCACAACCATTGCCACCCTTATGGCAGCCGGCGACGACGACTACGGCGTCATAGCACTAACGCAGTCGCCTCTACTCTCTCTCCGCAAGAGCGCCAGCCTAACCCTCAACACTCTCACACACGTCGAATCCCGCCTCACGCAGCTCTCCTCCCACACCTCTGAAAACTGGCGAGACTTTGTCAGCGCAGACGACCAGCCACCCACCTCCTCCATGCTCGGTCTCGACCAGCACCAGCACCTCACCGCAAACCCGGTCCCCACCCCCCTCCAACAAGCAATCGACTCCGAAACAGACATTCAGCAACTCCTCACCCGCCGCCAGCAGCTCCTCGCCGAAGCCCACTCCACCGCCGCCACCATCCTGCTCGAGATGCAAAGCGACGCAGAAGAAGACACCAAGGCGAAACAGCGCCGCTACGACTCCGGCCCCGTCATCAAAAAGTGGCTCGAGATGCTAGCTGAAAACGGGTTTTTGGAACAACATCTCGAGCGCTTTATGCCGTGCAAGACGTCTAGTTCTAATAGTCATGCTAGTAGGAAGAAGTAAAGAAAAGTTCCGTTGGAAAAAAGAAAGAAAAGGAATTCGTATTGGTTTTGTTAATAGCACGGCATGGTGGTATGAAGAATGGATGGGGCTGGTTACATTCTTGTGCATGTAAGTGTGTATATGGATAGTTTCGCAAGTAAGCGGCTGTGGGACTTGTAAGTTGTGTGTGTGTGTGTGGCACGGTGAGAACATGGGTCATGCAACAAGGAGTAGTCAAGGGAGATAGCAAAAGAACGATGCATATACTTGAGAATCCATGAATTAACATTTCCTATCAACGACAGTAGAGAAAGAAAGATAAATCAATCCGCAATAACTGCTGCCATATCAACAGTAAGCTAGCCGATTTTCCCGTCCTTTTCGCAAAGGGTAGCCCCATCTATATATGTGTGTATGTGTGTGTCTTACATTACTACGGTTTTTGGATCTTGAACGGATGAGCTTCAGTGTTGAAGACCCAGTCATCCAGACTAATTGTAGTCGGCTCACTGAAGGTAAGGTAAAAGTACTTTAGTGTTTCGGCCAACCAGAAGCTCTGTTTTTGCGAGTCAGCTCATAGTTGCGTGTCATTACTTCTTCAAAGACTTTTTACATACCTCCATGCGATCTTCCCTCGGCGGCGAATCAGCAGAAACATCTGTCAAGGCCGAGTTACCAATGTCCGTGTCGGTGGCGCGCATAATGGCTGTCCACATGTCCCATGCTGCGGCCTGCCACTGCTGCTCGCCTGTAAGACGGTGCATGATGAAGACGCTCTCAATGGCTTCGGGCCTGAGAAGATACCGCCTATCATCGATCGAGGTGAAGCCGTCCGGAAGGCGCAAGCTAGCAATGTTCCTGAGGGTGTCCTGGCCCTTTTCTTCGCCAGTCCGGCGTGACATGACGCCCTCATGCCAGGCATTTTCATCCCATTCGCATGTAGTCAGGTTGGCGCATGGAAGGAGGCGCGATACTTCGGGCATGATGCCCGAGGGAGAAGCCTTGTAGCCCCACACACAGGCGCCTGCTAGTTTGCGGCCAATATCGACGTGCTCTTCGTTTTCGAACACCTTTCCGCCTAGCGCAAACATGCCACCTGTGTAGCAAGCTAGATGCTCCATCACTGGGTCCAGCTCTTTTCTTGTACCATCGGCCATGACGATACCTGACATGAGCATGTCGACGTTTTGGGGGTTGGAAGGGCGAAATAGAGTGTTTTCGATGGCAGCGTTCATCGATTTCTCGTACATCTTGTGGTAGATGGGCTCTTGTCCACCGAGCAGGATGTACTCCTTGCCAAGGTATTCATACGTCGAGTCGGCCATACTTCCCAGGCCGAAGTGGTAATCTTCCGTAAAATTGGCGGTCCGACCGTTCAGAATGATGGGCCACATGCCCGGTAGCTTGGTCTGGTCTTGTTGTTCCTCCAAAAGCCTGGTGATTCTATCAACTGCATCGTACCACTTGGGGTCTCCGGTCAATTGCGAGAGGCGCGTAAATTCCAGAGTCATGCTACCAATCTCCGCAAGAAGCATATGCTCCTCTGGCTCCTGGGGCTTGCCCTCGCCTGCGGCGCGGAACTGCCATCGGGTGGCTGGTATGTGGTTGGGGGTATCGAAGGCATGGTACAGCATCTCGCCAACTTCCTTTGCCTTATTCAGCAATCGTTTTTCGCCACTCAGCTCATAGGCAGCGAGAAGACCGCCAAGATGTCGGATGTTGGTCTCGAAGACGTTAATTATTTCCTGGTCCGTGTACCCAAAGTCAATCATCTCAATGTCTTTGATGGCGGTTGAGAATTCATCCTCGAATCCCATGATGTAGAGCGTGTCGAGCGCATCAATGAGCGTAGTCGCCCAGCCTCCATAGCTGTTTGACACCTGCCCGCTTATAGGATGAATCTCATCGTGCATCCATGCATAAGTCCGGTAGTTCCTCCAGCACTTGAGAAACTGCTTCTTGACATCCTCTCTCCTTGCCTCGCGTATCTTCTTTGCTGCCGCGTCTTCCTCGCCAAACTTGAACTGTATCTTGGGCAGTGCTTTCGGCTTGCCGCTCGGTAGCGGGGTAAAGGACTCGATGCGGTGCTTGAATGGTACTTTGGTCCAATCGAAGGACTGGTATTTCTGCGTCCGTTCTTGGTTCTCGTGGTTGTCGTTTTTGTCGTGGTTGCCGACTACGGCCGGGGGGTCGGGATTCTCGTAAGGAAAGCTGAGGCAGTAAAGAAAGTAAAAAAGACCGATGGTGAGGACCGTGTAGAGGCTATAGCGCCTGAGCAGCGCCATGCTGTATTATTACAATTAATTACTACGGGGAAGAGATTTTAAAGGGGCAAGAAAGGGAAAGAGGAGAATGAAGCTGGCGCGAGAGCGCACCCACGCCCTCCGCTTTACGAGAGAACTGTGGGGAACTTGCCGCCCGCAGTAACCAGGTGTCCCTGCCAAGGCGGGCAGGACGGCAGGCCAATATCCCTGCCGCCATCTCGTTCGCTTGGGCACGCATCTGCGCTAGGAGGCCAACTGCTACTGATCGGGAACCATGATCGCGCATTGCATTACCACTGGACTCTTCGAATGTGGCAGCTCTGGGAAAGACGAATTATCTCAACCATGGAAGCTGGCCACTCGATGAGACGCTAATGCGAAGCTGGGCGTCAGATCTCACTCAGCAGTCACGTGGCTACACCAGCTAGCGCTCTAGCGTGGACTTGGCAGTGATAGTATACTATATTTGGGTTGTGAGTGATTTCGACATGCTGACACTGCGGATTTAACCATGCAGATGGCAGCGGTATAAGCATAGATGATTGCCCTGGTATTGGTATCATGTTTCGGTGTAAGCGCATCTAGAGCAGTGGCTCTAATCAATTCGCTAAAATACTATCCAATCAAAAATATCCGCTAGCTTACAAAAGAAAATAATGTCGACCTAGTACAGAACAAGCAAATCAAGCTCTAAGCTCTGTACTGTCAGACATTTGGTATCATATATACATTACTACAAATGAAATAGCCTTTATCGCTCTTCAACAATTGTAGTGCCTAAAATTGGCATTCAAATTATCTTCCCCGCTTCACGCTCCAGCGTGGATTTCTCATTCTGATTGCTTCAAACTGAGTGGATGGCTCTCGGTTGCATTCTCTCAGGCCGTGGGCGACTAGGCGCTATCAGAGGCCGTAATCTCAGGGCGAGGTGTCGCACTAAGCCGGCCAGTGGATTCTGTTTCCTCCTGGCCAGACACAACAGAGGTCTGTGAAGTCCCAGCCTGGGATATCGATGGGGTCCTCTGGTTTGAGTCGCGTTTTGGAGGAAAGACGTCTTCCGGTACTTTGTCTTTCGAGACTGGTGACGTCACAGGTGTGGATGAGGCCATGGTTCCACCGATACCCATCTGAGAAGTCGGTTGTGGTGCCGTGCTTAGCGGCATGTTGCGGGTAATTGAGCAGCCTGTTGACAGCACCACAGGAGCCGGCCCAACAAGGCCTGGTATTTGTAGCGGCCCCAAGGCTACGTCAAAAGATATACGTGGTGCCGAAACTTTGTTAGGCTTGTAATCGGATGAAAACTCAGACTGCGCAAAGTAATCGCTTGCAGTTGACACGACAGACGATGCATGAGAGGCGACCGAGTCACGCAACGAGGATTCAGAAGACTCCGTTGCGCTCCCACGAGTGTCATTGTCGGATAGCGGTGTTGATACTGCATCGCTTACGGAATGAGACCTTGCTGGAAGGTGAGGCACGCTGTTTTGTGAACGTGGAGGCCACCGGGGCGCATCTGATGTAGATGCCGATCGTCCCTTGTGACCCATGGCTTTCCACTTGGCCATTGTTGTGTCATCTTCTAATGTTGTAGCTTCATCAGTTGCGACAGGGTGTTGATAAACCTCGAGTATGGTTTCACTCATGCCACGCTTATGGTATTGTAGAACCTCCTGTATAGTATGCAAAGGTCGCGGTGGAAAGTCCTTGACGAAGTCGCGACGCTTTCCAGTGACACTCGAGACGCGCTAAAGTAAAGTTAGACTTTGTATCAGTATGTTGCCACGTCACATACCGAAAGTTTTGGAGTTTCTGAAACCGGAGGCGTGTTGGGAGCGGTTGAGACAGCAGAGTCGATACGACCAGCCTCAGGCTCATACGAGGTGTTGTGTGGCGAATTCAGCGAAATCTTAGGAATCTGTAGCCCAAGTGGCTTTTCTACTTCTCGACCAGAGGGGGTTGCATCAGCATGGCTGGGGGCCTCTTCATCAACTTCGGGTGTCGATGGTGTAGCCAGTGTTCTCAAGTGAGAGACATCACTTGGTACTTCCGAGCTGCGTAACTGTGTAGTCATCCTCTTCAGTTTGCGAATATCGCTTCTGTACCCCTTGATATCGAGCTTGAACAGTATGATTTCGCGGACGTAGAAATCAATCTCTTGGCGGAGATTTTGGATCTGGGCTTCGTGTGGGTCGACAGCAGGTTTGACCTCGCTCTCGGATTGTTCATTTTTCAGGCGCTCATGAAGCTTGTTCATCCAAGAGTCAATGTCCTCTTTCTTGGTGAGGGCAGTAAGTTCTGGAAGGGGGTCCTCTCCCTCATCAGCGTAGAGCTCAATTACCGCATGCCGTCGGATCTCGGCCTGCAGCAGGAGCTTATGGTACTCTAGCTGCTTCCTTAATGATTGGATGGTCTCCTCATTCTGCATGATTGTTGATTCGCGGTCAATAACTGCATTCCGGAGTTGTTCAATGAGCCTGTCTCTGCCGCGTGAATCTTGCAAAAGCTCGTATTGAAGGTCCGATTGGGCTGCGGCTTTTTGGTGCTCCTGTTCGAGCAGCTCGTATTTATGTTGCAGCAGATCATTGTTTTTCTCCAACTCAGCGATGTATGCATCCTTGTCCCTAGCTTGGGACTCGAGTTGCTCAATTTGCATAGCTAATGCAGCTAGCGTCGAGTCTGTTTGTGTGCCATCGGGCGTACTCGAAATGACAGCGCTAGTGCTGACCTTGGAATCGAAGGCTGACAGTGTCAGATCCAATGGTAGTTGGAGCTTGGGTACAGTGAGGTCAAACGGCGACTTCTGGTCCCTCAAGTTTGAGAGCTGTTCCTCGGCATCCAAGCGCTTAGCATTAGCGACTTCCAGGCGGTTTTCCAGATTAGCAATCGTATTCTGCAGGCCGTGGACGCTCTCTGCAAGCTTGTCGGTATGCCTGGCCTTGTCCTCCCATTCGGCGCTTTTCATCTCCGTCATTCCGAGCGTATTTCTCAGATCTCGCTCATTCTTTTTTGATTCATTTAGCTTGGCCATGAGCGACTCAATCTGCTTCTGGAGGGCAGCATTGTTCTGTATGTATAAGTTGAGCTCTTGCAGCAGATTCGGAGCTGCTGTTTCTTGCTTTCGAGCGGTACAAAGCTTGCGTTTCAAGTTATCCTAATAATATAACGTCAGTATACAAACTGAGTGTTGCCGTGGGCTAGTTACCATCTCGGGGTTGGTTTGCGAATACTCGAATGAAGGTTGCCGGTCGGTCAACTCAACTCGAAAAGGCGTCAAGTCGGCAGGCGCAGGGCTTCTTGAAGTCTTTTTCTCACCCTCGCAGGTTGCCGTACGCGACAATTCGGTCTCACTCCCTCCAGACCGATAGTCACAGCTTGACGCTATATAATTTTAGTAATTGGCTTCGTAAGTAATATTACAAATGCACAACACGAACAACGTGCATGGCGTAATTGCATAATACGACACCGACGCCGTGGCTTGGCAGAGTAGCACGGTAGTCTAATATTTAAAAAAAAGGGTACATACTGTCTTGCGGATTCGTCGATGCAAATTGTTTTCTGAAGAGTCGTACTTGATTCCTGAGGGAAGCTACTCCCAAGGAATTTGAACGTACAAGGGTGTTAGCGCGCGCTTCAGGTGCTACCCTAAGACTAGCAACCTTGGCTTGCAGTGGTGGCCTGGTTTGGTGGTGACCTGGTGACTCCAATTCGTAGGTAGGGTTGTCGGGTGGCGTAAACAGGCTGTATCTAGACGACGGCTGCAAACAATTAGCATGCGCTAGAGCTCAACCGAAGTATCTGAAGAAAAGTTGAATGCCAGCAAATAAAAAGACATCAAAAGCTGTGGTTATCAAAAGTTGCGAGTGCGGTCCGTGCGCCGTGTGGTTTTGAGACGAGCCACCACCAGGGCCTCTCGTGGGACACCTGGTAATACACTGAACAAGGGCATTGGTATGCAGACCACCCAACGTGGCCCAAGTGTAAAAAATAATGTTTAACTCAGGCAGATGTTGTCGCAGGAGAGTAGGAGACGCAGCATTGCGAAAACCCTGAAACTGTTTCGTTATGCAATTTTGCCGTTTGTCCAGTAAACATGCGCCTGCAAGGAAACAAAAGAAAAACTCACCACTTCTGAGGCATCCAGGCGCCTTTCTGCCTTTCGACCGGAAGGCATCCTCTCAATCGGCCGTGGAGCTAGGTAGTGATCCTTTGCGGCATCAAGCCGCACTTGGCCAGCTTCAGATCTGTTATCTTTATTACTGGAGTCGTTTCCAGCAACGTAGGGAAATGATTCCGCCAAGTCCACCCTTGGGTGTGTCCAAAAGCCGTGTTCGGCAGATGAACTGTTTTGCTGCGCACCTGGTAGATGGGAGTGAGGGGGAGCAGGGGTGTCGTTGGGGGGATATGTCCTCACTCCGCTGTGTTGCAACCTCAATTCTGGAACGCTGCGGGCGTGAGCCAATGTCGTCATGACCGAGTTGCTGACGGGTGGAGGGGTTTTGCCATAGTCGAGAGCCTTTTTGCGAATATGGCTCCCATGCCGAGAGATGCGGACTGACGACCTCGCGGACGCGGGAGTCGGACATAGTGACTGAGATTGACTTTCCGACACGATAAAGTCAGGCACCTCAGCGGGTAATTCTGTAGCCAAGAAGATGGAGGCGGATCTGGGCCGGTAAGGAAGGGGTTTGTGTTTATTGATAAAGGAACTAGCTCTTGAAAAAGTAGTAACGGCCGACGCCGGCGAGCGCTGTATGTCGTTGATGGCGGTCTGGAGGTTATTGACTGCACTAGCGAGAGCGACATCGTAGTGCGAGGCGGTTGGACTCGGCTCGTAGTTGTCGTCTGCCTGGACGATTGCAAGTCTCGACGGGCGCCGTTTCTCGGCTCTGAACGTAGGGGTCTCTCGATTAGGTGGCTCAGGGCCAGCCTGGCGTTTGGGCCAAGAGAGAAACTGCTTGGACAGCATTGCAGTGGTCGGACGCTCTCGACACACTTAGCGAGAGAGATGTGGCGGAGACATGGGGACAAGATGGCGGCGCGACACGCTCAAGGAACAACGACACGCGAAGACGAAGGCGACAGACAGTGGCCTCGAGACTGGGTGGATCCATTATACTAGTACTTGTGGAGGGCGTCTGACTGCTCCATGGCACGCTGAGGCCTACCTTGGGGCAGCGAGCCAGGCCCGTCCGTATCTCGAAGCCAAATGAGCATAATCACAGTTATGCCTGCAGGGGGCAGAGTGCTCGTCCGATTGACCCAGTGCTGACCTACTGATAGGTGCGGCGCCCCGATGCGCGCGGTGGGTGCCGTGTACAGAGGGCCCAAAGAGAAGAGGTGATAGGAAGGCGACCACGTGGCGGTGCCCAAGAGAGATTGATGGCGCACGGGCCCTAGTGCTAGCCTTGTGTGGGGAAAGTCGCAATGGGGCTGTCACCGTGCTTTTGGCGCCGCCGCCTTCTAGTCGCGCTGCCTCTGGAGCATCGTGCAACTCATCACAATCTGCGGCGTAATTTTCCACCCCCCGAGCCGGCGATATCCCGCAGTGCCTGCGACTTGCCTCCGAGCGCCCGGTCGCTCTGTCTGCTAGCGCAAAAAAGAAATTGGGCACGTCATTGCGCCACGAGCCCTCGTCTCTACCACCGCCGCCAGCTGCTGCCAGCACCCGGCCCCAAGATGCCCAGCGACCTGTCGCCATACAGCGCGCGTCGCCTGCTGACCCAGCAGCTGGGCGACTCCAAGGCGGCATCGCCCCAGCCGGGCCCTGGCAGGAACGCGAGCCCCAGCAGCCTCTCCAGAAATGGGTCGGAGCATGCTACCAGAGAGCCTCCAGTGGCATCGGCCCGGCGTTCAATGAGCGCCTCTAAACGAGAGAAGCCGAGGGAGGTGTCCATGGACCGCCGGCTCAGGAATCCGGCAGCAGCAGAGCCAGGCGCCCTGGGTAAACGCGACCCCTCGCCTGAACCCTACAGAGAGCGCACCAGAGACCGGTCCAGAGACAGGCGGCGAGACCGGTCGCGGGAAAAGAGACGCGACAGGTCTGGAGACAGGAAGAAGGATCGTTCCAGAGACAGGCGGCGCCATCGCTCCAAGGACAGGCACAGTCGCCGCGACCGCTCGCACTCCAGAGACCGGCGGCATAGGGACAAATCCAAGGACCGACAACGCTCGCCATCACGTATACCGTATCGTTCTCGTAAGCCACGCGCTCGCTCGCGCTCCGGCTCAACGTCGCCGCCACCCAAGCGCCGCCGCCGTTCACGTTCCGCATCTCGCTCCCGTTCACCTCCTCTGCGCAAACGGGACAAGCAACCGCTCCCTTCCCAGGAGGTGTCTTTCCGTGGTCTCGATGATTCTGCTCAGCCGCCGTCGAAATATGGTGGCGCGCCGCCCGACAAAGAGAAACCCAACTTCAAGCCTACCGGTGCACTAGCGAAAGCTGCCAACCGTGTAGAGGGTACCAAAATTTCTCTCAAATACCACGAGCCGCCTGAAGCGCGGAAGCCGCCCACATCACAGCCATGGCGCATCTTTGTCTTCAAAGGCGACGATGTGGTCGACACAATTGAGCTCTGGCAGAAGAGTTGCTGGCTCCTGGGCCGGTCGCGAGAAGTTGTAGATTATGTACTCGAGCACCCGAGCTCGAGCGGACAGCACGCCGTTATCCAGTTCCGATATATACAGAAGACGATCGAGGACGAGTTCGGAGTGAAGAGCACGCGCGGAAAGGTTAAACCGTATGTTATCGACTTGGAAAGCAGTAATGGTACCGAATTGAACGGCGAAGATATTGAAGCCAGTCGATACTTTGAGCTTCGCGACAAGGACATACTCAAGTTTGGCGGAAGCGAGAGGGAATACGTTGTCATGCTACCGCCAGCAGACTCGAAATAAGTAGTTAGCGGAATGCAAAGCAGGATTAGACTGTAAAGAACAATCAAAACTAGGGAATGTTAGCCCATGCGTGACGGGGGAAACCAAGAAAATTGTTCCTAGTACCAGTAATCTGATTCCGTATCAACATGAAGACCTAATTCTGTGCCTCCAAATCTTCCACATACTGCACTGCTTGATCCCACTCCTCTACCTTGGTGTACGGGCTCCTCAACCAGGAATTCAACTCATGTAGGAAGAGCTTGCTATTCTCTCTGCCGAGGAACTCTGCTAGTAAATTCTCTGCATGGCCGTGGCTTGCTTTCAAGTCCACCATTTTCAGGATGGACACAATGTAAGAGAGCAGAAACTCGGCATTGCTACTCGTCGCTATGCCAGGGGATGAGGCCGAGGAGTCTGCTTGCAGGAATGTGAATACTCGGAGTTCGCGCCGGATCCAGGCACGCGCTTTGGATTGCATGTCTGATGAGTGCGCGATCATGTCCGGGGTTATGTCGCAGTATCCGGACAAGGGATTGCTGCCCACGTGCAGCGAATATAATTTCCGCCGGTACACCCCCCTGCGTCTGCGCAGAGCAGCGTCTTCGACGGGTGGCGAGTACGGACGCCGAGTTCCTCTTGGCCGCCTTAGTAGTCCATAAGGGGCGAACAGAGAGCCTGGTCGGTCACTGCGACTGGGATTCCCGTCGCTGGCGCTTGAAGGATGGCTACCAGGGACAGCGTAGCTCTTGTAGTCGGATGGAGAACGCCAGTCGTATTGGACAGCAGTGACGTTTGATTTGCCTGTATCCCAATCAGATAGGCATTGTATATTAGGTAAAGAACATACATAGCGGACAAGTCGACCTTTCCTGCAGCCAGGACACCAGACATACAAAGTCAAACGTATAGTGGTTGCATGGGACGGTAATGGCCCGTTCTGTGACTGAAGAAAGACATATCACGCATGTGTCTTCTTTGTCGTCGTGCGCGGCTTCAGTCGTACTTCCCGGCATGCGCTTGCGGTGTTGCGGGAGTGAAAGGAGGAGCGCACTGCGGTTCCGATGATGAGCTCATCCGTCGGAAATGCGCTTGGACCAACCAAAAGTAGTCGCAGTCGCGTCTTCCCTCGTCCAGCACGCAGCCCGGGGCTTCACCATTTACTCGCCACACTCGCGGCACGTGTCCAGAGGCGTGCAGTCTATCGCGGTCCCTCCTGCGCCAGCTGCTGCGTAGATTCTACCTTGGATGCTACTCTCCGCCGTCCGACGCATTGCTTCGCCTTTTGTCCGACGCTCGACCCCAGCCATGTTAGCAACCGCGACCAGGCCTACTGTCGCAGGGCCAAATGGAAAGCCGATGTACCATACCGTGACAGCGCTCAAGCGGTGGTCATGTGCTGACAAGGAGCTTCCTGCCGTGCCTAAAATCAAGGCCATTCACGTCTACGACTTCGACAACACCCGTACGTTGGTCGCAGTCATGTCGCAAGCCGAGCACTGACCCAAGAATAGTATTTGCAAGCCCGCTTCCAAACAAGCAGCTATGGAACAGCGCCACCATAGGCCAGCTTGGCTCGCCCGACATGTTCCTCAACGGAGGCTGGTGGCACGACTCGAGCATCTTAGCAGCGACGGGCGAAGGCCTCGAAAAGGAAGAGGCGCGCGCATGGCAAGGCTGGTGGAACGAGCAGATTGTCGAGCTTGTCGAATCATCGATGGCCCAAAAGGATGCGCTGAGTGTTCTCTTGACTGGCCGGGGGGAGTCCAACTTCGCCGACCTTGTCAAGCGCATCGTTCGGAGCAGGCGCTTGGAATTCGACATGGTCTGCCTGAAGCCTGCCATTGGACCTTCGGGACAGAAGTTCAAAAGCACAATGGAGTTTAAGCAGGAGTTGCTCAAGGACATTGTCTACACATACAAGGACGCTGAGAAGCTGAGCATCTACGAAGACCGAGTGAAGCACACTAAAGGCTTCCGCGACTTCTTCTTCCAGTTCAACGAAGACTTGCTCAGGGCCCAAAACCAAGCGCCGCGCCGGCCTATCACCACCGAGGTCATACAGGTTCCGGAGAACGCCACATCACTCGACCCGGTGGCTGAAATTGCGGGAATCCAGAAAATGATCAACACACATAACATACAAGTCAAGTCGGGAAATGTGCCCCCTGGCACACCGCCGTACCAGATCAAGAAAACAGTCTTCTACACTGGTTACATGATCCCTCCGGATATGACTGAGAAGTTGACTTCTCTAGTCTCATTACCCCCAGGTGCTCCAAGGGACGACATCCGATACCTCGCAAACAGCATCCTCATCACACCGAAGCCATGCCCAAAAAGTATATTAGACAAGGTCGGCGGAATCGGTGCAAGAGTCAGGTGGAAGGTGACGGCCATTTCCTGTTTTGAGAACAAGCTCTGGGCTGCAAGAGTTGAGACTGTGCCAAAGGGCACAAAGTTCTACTCTGAGAATCCTGTTCCGACAGTCGTCTTGGCGACCCGCAAGAACGGTCGACCGGCAGACGCCGCACGCATCGTCAACTGGCATCCGGTACCCCAAGAACATGCCTTTGAATTTGACAGTGTCGTAGGTGAGAAGCAGATGTTGCGCATCGAGGAAGAGACGTCAAACGAGAGCGAGTACGAGAGCTATTTCCCCAACAAGTCCCATCGCAAGGAGGAGCCGAACGGCCGCCGCGACAACTCTCGGTCAAACCATGGCCGAGGCAAAGATAAGGATGATCGGTCTGGAGGCTATCGTGGTGGCAACCGAGAACGGGGTCGCGGAAACAACAGACACTCGTCTTATGGCCAAAGAGGTGGCGCTCGTGGTGGCTACCGTGGAGACCGGAGTGGGGGGCGAGGACGTGGCCGTAGCGGCGGTGGACAGTCGCAGTACAGGAGTCTGGACGATGTCGACAATGGCTACGGCAACCGCGGACCTGACAGCAATCCGGATGCATTCTACTAACATTGCAGTGTACGTGACCGCTTTAGGTGCCTGATGACGACCGTTCGCTTGTGTCGATCCATACCACTACAGAACACTGCGTAGCTCGCAGTAAGTATAGGAGACAGTATCAGTAGTATGACGCGCTAGTCATTCCGATCGGCTAAACCTTTGGACCAGGTTCGGTTCACGTGACACGTCTCTTACATCACACGTTTGTGATGTCATAGATCTTTCCTTGCTCCTGTATGAATACTTCAAAAGCGAAGCCTTTGCGCCATCCCGTACTCCATTAGATACCCGCAATCCCATTTACATGGCTCATTCCACCCCAACTCGTATACAATTGCAAACTCTCGCGCACACTACTATCCAGAGCCAGCCGCAGCCCCGACGCGAATTTCACAGTCTTTCTTTCAACTAAAATGGCTTGGTTTTCAGCTCTTCGCACACAAGCTGCCGAAGCTGCCGAGGGTAGGGCTGACAATTGGCGATGACGGACTTCCCATACAGGCCACACCACACGTCGCGAACATCCGGACCAGGCGCGCCATCAGTCCACACGACGGACAAGCCACACCGCGATACACAACTCAACCTCGTTAATCCTCATGCAGTCTAGCACTGTCCACTTTCCCAAGCTACCAAATATGATTGGGTAGGATGGCAGTCCCGGTGGAAAACAACGCAGCAGCCTGCTGCTGGACATGAATCGGCGATCGCATGCTTCCCAGTTAATTTTTCCAGGTTCCCCCAAATCTTGATTTGGCAGGGTGCTCCTCGGGACGGGGGCCGTCTCCTGGGATCACATGAGGGCTTTATGCATTAGTCAGGGCGGGGCTTTTTGGTCGTGCAGCAGGGAGAGAAGTTTTGAAGGCCGTGGTTGAACGAGGGGTCTCTGTTCTCCCAGACGGTTCGCCGGTGGCTGGACCCTTTTCTTTCCTCCTTCTCGGTTGCTTCCAACGCTACTGTGAAGGGACGTGGATTCCTGGGCTACGCAGGAGGTTAGCTGCTGTGGGTTTCGGCGGTATTTCAGTGCTTATCGTGAGTCCTTTTTGCTGGGAGTGTGGGTTACGGTTGGGGGGTGAAGACAATGAATGAGCGGGTTTGTGGGTAGCAGTGCCCCGAACACTGACCTAATTGTAGATCATAAGGACACCCTGCCGTCCCGAGCTTGTATCAGCATACATAGTTTCGGGGTACGTATCGCATAATCTTGGCTACAGTCAAGTCTGGACAGCAGTGCCAGCTCAGAGACGACAGAGGCTCAGATTTCGTCTTCCGGGGCTCTTTTCTAGCAGATTTTCGACGACTCTTTGCACTATTGTTTTGTTCACATCATGCTGTTCAAGATTTTCTGTCATTACCACTGCCGCTGTACTTTGCACGCCGAAACCGCGCGAGCATCCTAGGTTCTGGGATTTGACGCTTGTTGAGATTGGCTAGGGACGAGGGGTTATTAGACCCCGATTTGCAGCCCAGCTCCCCTAGAAGCCACGATATTCAGGAAAGCGAGAGAGAGAGAAGCAGAAGATAAGGAGGAGGAAGAGTAGGAAAGAAGTATCCATCACCCAAGCGTCCCAAAAATTCACACCTCCAACCCACCCAACCCCGATAACAAAAGAACAAGAACCAGGGATAACCCGTACTATCGCGAACTTCCCACCCCTACAATCCAAATTGAGAAGCAGCAGAAACAGCAAGAAAAGAAGAATAAGAAAATAAATCAATAAAAATGTGCACAAAAGTCACGCTCAAACACAGCACATGCCGCCACATGTTCTGGGTCAAGCGCACGTGTCCACGACACCCGCTATGCAACTTCACGACCGAACTGAATCGCGAGCGTGGCGGCGAGTGCTGGGACTGCGATCAGGGACAGGGACCGCCTGAGGCGCTGTTTGCGCGCAATGTGAGTTGGGGGAGGGTGAGGATTGGGGTTAGAGCTGGGGGTGTGATGAGTGTGTGAGTGATGGGATGGGATGGGATGGGAGTTTTGCGGGGGGGGGGGATAGAAGGCGAGATTGATAGCGAGGAGGAGAGAAGGGAAAGCGGAGGAGAAGGGGAAAAGGGGAGTTTTAAGCTAAGAATTGAGTGTCATGTATGTGGTTTTATTAAAGTGGAAGATTGGAATATGCGGGTTTCTAGTACTTATGTGTATTCTACCCTCCTCCTCCTCTTCTTCTACCTCATCCTATTGTACCTTGTTCCACCTCATCTCATCTTATCCAAGTGCAATATCACAAGCAAACAAGCAAAGTACCCCCCCTCCCCTCTTTTCTTCATATCTATCCCTCACCACTACATCTCACCAGTAACTATCACCACATTACAGGATCCCAACCCACAAATATATCCAGCATATACATCAAGTCCCTCTGTGTTTGTTTGTTTTTTCTGGGTAATATAATGCGTACACTTTCTTTCCATGACACATGTATATATATTTCTTGGTATACTTGGTTAGCTGTACTATGTACTATGTAGTATGTAGTATGTAGGATTCAAACCAGCACAACCGCGTCTTAATTTGAAGTATAAATCTAGGTTAAAAACAATGTATGTAGGCTTTGATCACGTGGGGAGTCTCTTCGTAATAAATAATAACATAGTAGTCGTACCAAGAATTAGGATCAAGAACAAGATATTGATTAGGAAGCAAAAATAGTTAGCATGATATTTCATATGGCAGCTTTTTCCACTTTTAAACTCTGGCTTCTATTTTCTACTTGTATAGCCCTGGTCTTCTCCACACATCTCTCTCTCTCTCTCTCTGTATGTATGTGTGTATTTCTACAAAACCAATCCGCCCTCAAGCATGCTTAATGTGACTTCAAACTACCACAAGCACTTCCACCATGCGCATATCCTAAACCAGCATGATGAGAAGAAGAAGCCGAGCTAGAAGAAAGAATAGCTAGAAGAAAAAGAAAGAAAGAAAGAAAGGAAAAAAAAGGCAAAGCGTCATCATGGAAAAAGGCGCGTCGTGAACAAGCAGGGGTCAAGGAAGAAAAAAAAATAATAATAATAATAAGAGGGGGAAGAGGATGAGGAAGAGGATGATGACGATGATAAACGCCAAGCCCTGATGCTGCGTAACCGTGTCTTGTATTTTCTTTTCTTGTCTTTTCTCTTTGGTATGTAGGAGTATATATGTAGATCTGTGCAGATGTATATAGGAGGATATGTGTGTGTAGGAGTATGGGAGTGTGTGAGTGTGTGAGTGTACCATGGAACTGAAAAAAAATATAATAACAACCCAAAAACACCCCGCCCTACCCCCAAAAAAGAACAACCATGACGCTTAAAAGTCGATGATCAAAAAGGCCACATCGATCGAGGGGGAACAAACAAAAACCCACTAAAAAGCAGTTGGTTTGTTTGGAACAAGAAGCTGAAAGATAGCCAAATACAAAAAAAAAGATGCAGAATGCGGTGCAGGTGCAGGTACGATACAGTACAGTTGCAATGACGCAAACAGTCTTCTAAACATGTGGAAGGAAAAAAAAAGAGAGGAAAAACAGCGCGCTAAAAAAACAAAAAACAAAAACATCAGATAGACCACATGTCTCGTTGAACATCGCAATAACAGCAACACCACCACCTAATCATCCCGATCCCTCGACATACCCGCCTGACTGCCCTCGAAATTCCTCATTTTTTGCGCGTGATTGAAATTAATCATAGTGCGCATGGGGTTCTTGCGCGCGGCACTGACCATGCTCGGGGTAGGAGGATGTCTGGCGGCCCGGACGCTACCGGTGCCATACTGGATTTCGTTGAAGAGTTGGTCGTACTGTCCCTGGGTTAGGCTGTCCTTGCGAGAAGACGACTTTGAAGAAGATGATGATTTGACGGGGCGTACGGTAGAAGCTTCGCTGGGTTCAGAGGTGATGGAGGGCTTGAGCTTTGCCGAGGGCCTGGAGGAGCGGTGGGAGCGCAGCGATTCATCGTCGTCGCCTGACTCGGGCGTCTTTTGCGTGCGGTGGGAGCGGTGGGAGCGGCGCGTGGATTTGCTGACCGACGACTCGGTATCGTCCGTGTGCTTTCTGCTGCTGCTGCTGCGGTGGCTGACGGATGTTTCGGCGTCGTCGTTCTTCTTGCTCTTGTGGCGGTGGGAACGGTGTCGGCGGCGGGGACCATCGCCAATCTGCGAGATACTGTCGCTGGGCACCACCGTGTCGAGATCGTCTTCGGTCATTTCTTCAATGTCGAGGTCGTCGATAAAGTCATCATCCTCCTCTTCCTCTTCATGCTTCTTGGACTTGTCGCGGTTGAAGAGACTGCTCACAATGGAGGCGGCCTTGGAGGGAGCCTTGGTCGGGGACTTGGACGGGGCTTTGGAAGCGGGGGCGGGAGGTGGGGAAGGAGAAGATTCACGTTCTCTACGGCTGTGCTTGCTGTGCGAAGACTTTGCCTTGGACCTGCTTGAGCGGTGCGAGCGCGTGCTCTCGGCGATGCTCTTGTTGTCATCATTGTCAGCCACAAACGAAGAGATGAAGGAGCTGGGCGCGGCGCTGTGGGCCCTGGAGACGACGCTCTGGGGCTTGGACGCTGGGCGCGGGGGCTTCAGATGCGTGCCGGACGACACGGTACTCCTTGCATTCTCGAGCATCAATATCTCGGGGCTCGTGCTTGACCGGTGAGCTGAGGTAAGCCTCGAGGGAGCAGCTGAGGGCGCACGCGAGTAGGCGGGCGCATACTCAATAGCCTGAGGCTCCGCATACTCGATGGCACGTGGCGAAGCGTACTCGATGGCACGGGCCTGGGCGAGGGCACTGGGGGCGCCGCTGAATTGAGATGGCGAATAGTAGTCGGCCGGGGCGGCCTCGATCTGCCGGGGCACCGACGAGCGGGGGATCTGGGATGCGCGCGAATAGACCGAACGCGCGTCGTCGTCGTTGTCGTCTTCTTTGATGCGGTGTACTGACGGGGCGGGCTCTGGTGGTGCGACGACGACGGGCACAGGCTGTGCTGGCTGCGCCAGTGGTGCTGGCGGGTCGGCTTGTGGGGTCTGCTGGGGTGGTTCGGGTTGCGCCGGGGCCTGAGCGAAGAGGCCAGCTGCATTCTTGACCGCGTTTTTGGCGTCGAGGAAAGCGTTGAAGTCGGCCTCCTTCTTGGCGCTGTCACGCTCGCTCCGAACAAATGCATACGCCACCGCCGCCCCAGCGGCAGCCCCAAGGAGCGCCCCAAAGAGGTGCTTGCTGCCGTCGCTCGATTCCGACTTGGTCGCGGCTTCCGGGACGGGCACCACGTTGTCGGCGGAGAGACTCCTGATTACACTCGGCGGCTTGGGCACGGCGGCGGCGGCTGCGGGCTCGGCCTGGGACGCCGTGGCCTGGGACGCTGTCTTTGAAGAAGTAGACGTAGACGTAGAAGAAGAAGACGTAGACGTAGAAGAAGAAGACGTAGACGTAGAAGAAGAAGACGTCTTGTACGTGTGGACGCTCGACGACGTCTCGCGGTAGCTGGTTGTCACTGTCCGGCGGTACGTGATGACGCGGCTGTGGTGGTAGATGGTGCCGTCTTCGCCCACGTCGGGTCCATTGCGGTACACGGCCTCGATGCTGTTTCCGTCAAAGTCGACTACGACGGCATTGAAGTGGCCTTCTGCATTTCGCGTGGCTGGGCTGCCGTTGGGTCGACCGCCGGCGGTCAATGCCGCGGTGTAGAAGTTCCGGACCGCGGTGGTGCTGGGGGCGGTGAAGGCAATGTGGGATGCCCCAGCCTTTACACTTTGGAGGCAGTCAGTGGCGGTGTATCAAGAGGGTGGATTCTGCCTCTTACCCAGGCGTTTCTTGGCACAGATAGAAGTCTGCATTGTGAACACCCAGCCCAATCTGGTGGCCAGACTCGGAGATGTAGCGATAGCCAAGCGGCTGGAGGGCCGAGAGGAAGAAGGACGTCGAGGTTGGCAGATGCGAGACTGTGAGACCAATCTGGGCGATAGGCATTGCGCTCTATGGCGGCAAAGGGACGGGGAGAGGGGGAGAGGGGAGAGGAGGAGAGAGAGAGAGAAGGGCACAAGGCTCGTCAGAGACAGTGAGATGCTCAGAGAGGGGGGGGGGTAGTCGGGAGATGGTCGGGAGATGGTCAGAGGGAGGAGAGTCAGAGAGACAGCGTGGGGTTGTTTAGAGCAGCAGCAGCGACAGCAGCAGGACGAGGCATTCGGTAGCCGGACGAGGTTTATATCGTGACGCCGCCGCCCCGTGTGTCGTGTAGAGGGTTCCATGGCCGTGGAGGAAAAGCAGAGCTAGCCTGGCCCCACGGCTGCAGACGGCCATCAGGGAGGCCGCTGTCAACATGTTGTGATGCTGCCACATGTCCTGCGTCTGCAGCTAACAAATTCGTCCAGGCAAGCGAGGCGCGCCCCGTTGGCATTGGCCCAGCATCGCCGGCCCGCCGCTGCCAGTGCATGGTTGGAGACGGGCGCCCGCCTCACAGCGTGGTCCGCTTGTCGCGTGCAGTCGAGTAATAGGAGACGAATATTTGCGGTCTGGATGCGCGCGACCTGGCCACGCACCGAGCCGTGGGCCATGGCAGATGATGGTGTGACGTCGGGACGGGGCCGGCACGCCTATGCCTACATACACATACACCCACACCACGCCAGGCCTATGACGCTGCCGCCCCTGGATGAGGCTGTCCGCCCATGGCCGTGGTTGTTGCTTGTCGTCGTCGTCGTCGTCTCTGTTGCTTGCTTTTGGCCATGTTCGCTGGACACTGATTGGCATGGCCATGCCTGGGAGATCGGCGATGCGGCTCCTCGTCCTTCACAGCCTGCCCCTCCACCCCCGTCACCCTCCCGCCGCCGCATGCGCTGCTGTGGCTGCAAGAGATACTACTAACAGAACAAGAACATTACCATGCAACGAGGCCTAACCCCACGCAGCATAGCCCGTAAGCGACTGCTGGGGTCATGCCCCCAACGAGGCATCAACGCCTCTCTGGGCACAACATGACGAAAGGTCCAACTTTGTTCATTCGCCAACAGATAGATTGCTGACCCCCCTAATCTTCTTCTTTTTCATCATCATCATCATCATCACAACGCCGCCGCCGCCGACGCCGTTGCCTATGTAACTTACAGACAGACAGACAGAAACTAGCCATCGCTGACGCCGCAGCCAACCAAGCCCAACCAGCCCTCAAACAAACGAAACCAAGGTGCGGGGCAGGTTGAGCTGCCCCGCCGTCTTCCGAGAAGACCGATTCTTGTGCGTTGAAACCAGAGTAGTTGTTTTGTTGGAAAAAAACCTCTTAAGCAGACGCGCAAAATCAAATGCAGTAGCGCCCCCGGGCTGTCGATGTTGTAATCTAAGCCCCAGGGCGTGTCCCGCTGCCTACAAAGCTCTTCCCCGGGTAGTCGTCCTGCTGTGAAATCCGGTCGGCCATCCGACTCGTCGCGACAAAAACAAAAGCGTCGCTCTGCTGGCCCTGCTGGCGTGTTCGGCATGCATAGGTCCAAACTGCGCCCGCCTAGAAGATATTCCACACGTCCTCTGCGGCATGGCAGAACTTGCTGCATGCAACGCTGGCACTGAGGTTGAACTGACTAATCGCAATGCTGTCGTCCTTGATGCCGTCGGCAAAGTCGTCGTTGCCCTTGGCCATGGCGCCCACAAACACGGCAATGCTCTCGCCCTTGTTGAGCCCGCCAATGTAGTCGCTCACACGCACCACCTCCGAGTCAAAGCTGAGCGTCACCTTGCGGCAATTCGGCGGCAGGTGGTCTGTAATCGGGTTCTGGATCACCTCAATCAGCTTTTCCTGCGATGTCGTTGACCGGATCTGGTGCCGGTGCAGCAATTGCACCATCAGACCCGCAAATCGCTTAAATGTGCGTGGGATCCGCACCGTCGGGCTGACTCTGATGAGCACATTCTTGGACGTGTGAATGTAGATCTGGAGCTTGCCCGCCTTGTTGATTGGCGAGTCGAGTAATGTGAGCAGACACTGCATGGCCACGTTAGCTGATTAGCACACTACCCTCTAGCCTCCTCTTGTTACGCACTTGGTGTGTGATATCCGGTCGCGCCTCGCTGATGTCGCGCCCCATTTTGCGCATTACTCCAATGTGATCGTCGCTATTGAGTAGGTTGTACTTGTCTTCGCGCGCCCCAGGTCCCCGCCCGCTACCGTGCGATGCCTTGTACGTCTCCAGTGTCGCATTGCAAAGCACCACAATCAGCCGCTGCGTGTCCTTGTCATTTGTCGGGATCGGCGTGTGCTGCTCGGCCACTAGTTTTGGCAGCTCTGGTGGCGGCATTGATTGTGTTCCTAGGCAAACAAAAAATCAGTCTTGTCCATGGCTGCGAAGAACAAGGGGCCGAGGGCTGTTCACATACTGGCACGCTTTGTTCCCCGCTCGGAGTTGTGTGAAGAGGGTCGCTCGGAGGGCGAGATGGAGCGTTCGGGCCTGAGGGGAGCCATTTCTTGGTTTGTATATGTACAACGAAACAAACAAATCCTGCTCGGATGGGATAGTGTGGATGGGACTTTGTCGAATGCGGGGACAACGAGGCAGCAAACACGGCCTTTGACTTGGATCCTGTAGGTCAGCAATTGCAAAAAGCGCTATTATACAGACCAAATATGGCCGGAGTTTCTTGTCGGAATATTAACGTGTCCAGGCGCAGGTAAGCTTTCGGAAGGGCGAGGGGAGGGGAGTTGGGGAATCACGCGTCCTTTTGTGCCAAAGACTAGCAGGCGAAGGTTGAAAAGAACCGCATTTTCAGCCAGCCAATCACGCGCGCGCCAAGCCGAGCCCGATTACGTGAGAGGGCTAGTCACGGCAGGCCAGCCGGTGCTAGCAAGCCGTCGTCGCTGTTACTCGAGGCTCACCACCGACCGCCGGCGTCGCTCAGCAAAACCGGGCACCACTGCTCACTTTCCACGAGTATGGATGCAATATAACACCGACGCTACATGGACCTGACGTTGGTGTCAGCGGCCCGCCGCCGCCAATTGCATGCGACATCTGCGACGTCTGTCCCGAGCGTCCCCACCCCGAGGCATCCCACTAATGCTAACACCTTGGGCCTGCAACGCCCACGTCGGTCGAGTTCGGGGCGCAACGCCTCTAGCTCCCAAGCGACGACGACGGCGACGGCTATGTCGGTATCCATGTGCCAGTAGCGATGTGGGCTTGTTGCGCTTTTGTGGGACGTCGGACAGAGGCAGAGGGCGCTTTGGGGCTGGGCATTGCGCGGTGCTTGCAACGAAAGCGTCTCACCATGGTCTCTTGGCCGACGTTGCATTTGAAACAATTGTCATATCACGGAGCCGCCTCGCATTGAGCATGCCGCCATACGCATCTTGTATGGGCCTTTTGGGTAAACATTATGCAGTCGGCCGACCTTTTCAAGAGGTCAGCTCATGCTCGAAACGAGACTGGTTTGACCGACGCGCTGTAGCCACGGTGTGCCGGTAGGGGATACATGAACGGCTACCCGTCGCCCTTTTGTGTGAATTCTAGCACCTGTCAGTCCAAGCACTCTTCGCGTTTCCACACTTTTTTTTTCTTCTCCCGTCGCCGGCGACATTTCCATCCTATTCTTTTGCAGTCACAGTCGCTTGGTTGCAACCACACAAACGTCCAACTACACTACACCACACGTCAACACCGACTCCGCCAAACACACACAAGATGGGTTTCGAGTGGCTCGCACCTATCCTCACGCCAGAAGCTCTGCGCTCCGTCGAGGCCGACGGCCGACCCGTCATCACGCTGTTTGGCGTCATTGCCGGGCTCATTGCGCTCAGCGTCCTGATTTGGTACACGCACTTTGTCACGTCCAAAATGTATCCGAAAAAGGTGGATCCCAATGCGAAAAAGGGAAAGATGCTCGGCTTCATCCCGCGATAAGCGTTGGCATACATGCACACATCACTACGGCGAACAACAGAAGAGGGGTCCAGTCGTATCCAAAGCACCAAAGGCGTTCGTCGGTACTCGGCTGCAGGGTCCCAACGGCCGTGGCTATCGCGTATTATTGTTATTCTTTCTTTTCTTTTTCCTTGATTTCTTTCCACAATACCCCCTGGTGCGCACGCAAACCATCCATCCGTCCAATACGCCTCTATACCCCCCCCCCTCCGGAGCCAACCAAATCTTTGATTCGGCGCACACACACATACACACACACACACACATTATCCCCCCCCCTCAAGAAACCCAAATCTCCTATCAAACGAGAAAAATTAAAATTAAAATTAAAACCAACAACAACTACTACTACTCCGACCGACCACAGACTCCGAACGCCGGACCTCGGTCTTTTCGGTGGGGCGCAAAACCCATTGGTCATTCGGCGCCGAGT